CTGTGTGTGCCCTACCCTGATATTCTTCACCTGTGTCATCATTCTAGCCTGTCAGTCGGAAAAAAGAAGGTGATTTTTTCATTGTCTCCTGTGAATGCAATATGCTCCCGTTAAATAGTCCTTATCATAATTTTACTATTTTTTTTAATATATATATATATATATATATATATATATATATATATAAAATGCCTTTGGGTTTTTATCCCTGCTGTGTTACTGTTTATGTTGTTTTTAAATGCAATACTTATTTTAGGTTGTGTCAAATGTAACTATGTTAGGATTGAAAAGTGCCGCACAGAGACTAAAAAAAAAAGTGGGTTTGTACCTGTGACTTGTTCTTGTTAAAATATAAAAGTCCAACAATCCAGATACCTTTGTAGATTTATCAAACAAATAGGGAAAGGAAAGGTATTTCTAAACAAAAGGTCCAAAAATGATGATTATGGTGATGATGATTATATAATAATGACGATGATGGTCAACAGAAAATATTTCAAACTCACTCACCCTCTTTGTCTAGTCTCCCGCCATCCCAAATGCACAGGTAAAATAAATTAAACCACGCCCACTGCTAATTACCGGAAATAATAAGAAACACATATAAGCAGCAAAATATAACAAATAATCAACCGAAGTAAAACACACATTATGGCTCCTACAACACATTTAATCACTTAAGAAGAACACGATGAAGACAGTATCTGGTATCCCTAAAATATCATCTATTGAACATGTATAAAGATCATGTTCTTAAGTCCCATCCAGACAAAACTCTAACTCTTTATATTCTTCTTAGAAGTCTCATAGAAATCAAAGGATCCTATTGTCAGTTATTTTTTGTTTCCTCAGTAGAGCCACGTTTGTCCAGCCCGTCCAGCTTCCACCAGCTCAGACAAGCAGCCCTAATTTCAACTTTTTTTGTTGGATGCATTTAACAGTTTTAAGACAAAGGAGTTTAAAAATAGTTTAATGATCTTACCACGTAAGGGTATTTCCTCAATCCGGAAAGAAGCACTCGCTGTAATAACCCAGTATTAGAAGGAAGTGAAATCACAATCCCCAGATTTGCTGACGCACAGATTCAACCTGAAAGGGAGTGAATGAAAAACTGAAATCTGAAGAACAACCAAATCTGTCGACACATGTAGAGACAAGTTTCTAATTTACCTCCGAGAGATTTTATATATTGTATAAAGTACAGTAAAAGGGGAATATTTAAGAAGAGCAGGAGAGCATTAAAAGAGAGTCATGGCAACATTTTGTCATCGTTACTTTATGAACTATCTACACGTAGTCTGTAAATGCAAACTCAGTGCAATCACACCAGCACTTTAAAGAAACAGGCTCCAGAACAAATGTGTCATTTACATCAGTACCTCATAATCATAAGCAAAACTTCAGCACCTTTAACACTCCGGCACTTTACATCCCATAGCAGGCTTTACCTCTGAAGGTCAGCTTATCCTGGATTGTACATTGCACAGCCACTTTAATGCTTGTATAAACGTATGTGTGTCAATAATGTACAGTTTATGTTGTTGACGTTTTTGCATGTCGTTGTGGAGTTATGTAAATTTGTACACGTGGGTACCACCGACCTGCCAAGAGACTAGCCGATGGCCACAATCTGGCATATTTACATGTTCATGTTCATGCTATGTAGGGAGGGAGGTTTGTTAAATAAATAAACTCACACGTACCGAGCCCCTAAAGAGACACGGAGTGAAAAAATGACGTTTCTGGAGCGCACTAGAATCAACTCCATGCTCACAAGATTTGATTTGTTGTGCGATTTGTTGAGAACATTTAATGATCTCATCCGAAGGTTTCATAGGAGCATATTGCATTCACATGAGAAAATAAAACATTTCTATTAACGAGATTATTTTCTGGGAGTTACGCGTTATATTTTATTGAAAAATTTATATCTGTTGTTTTTCTGGGGGGAAAAAATCGATACCAGTGACTCAAAATCTCCAACAGCAGCGCTCATTTAGACCAAATATTATTTAAATTATGTAAAAAAAAGACAACGTGATTAGGAATGAAACTTAAATGACATCATGTATAAAGCATTGTGACATTGTAATAATAATTTGTCTCAGTCTTTGTTGGCAGGTTCATTGATTACCACCAGTAAGCCTATTTCACTGATGTAAGTTAATCTGGTTTAGAATTGATTTGAGTGAAATCTGATTACACACAGATTATTGGTCAATACGGCACACCGGACGAGGAGGGAATTAAAGCTTTTGCTCACAAATCCAGGAAATCAACGATGCAACATGTTGGCAAATGAGTCTCTGCTCGTGCCCAGGCTTTGGCTCTCCTTCTCCAACAGAATTAGTCTGCATGATGTGAAACTATTCTCATCCCCAAAGTGACTGTGTCTGACCCTGGCCTCTGATTTTTCGATATTTTAGTTTGTGCCGGTTGACTCGGGACGTTTCTGGGCGGGCAGCTGGTACGTTTCCTCCAACCAATGACAGCGCGATGGTGAATTTAAGAGTGAATACAATTCAGCAATTGGACGTTGACATACATTATGGTGCGTTCCATTTGATTTTGGAAGTCAGAAATTCCAAGTTGCCAGTCTGATACGTCGTCGAGTCGGACCCTTCAGTGGCCCGAGTTAAAATCCAACATGGCTGCTACGTGCATCAACAGTAACGTTTACGCCGTAACTATTGTGTTTGTTAGCAACTACTGTAAGTCTTATTGTGTGTAATTACATGAACAGCATCGATAGTATCGTGCATGTTCTTCGGTCATGTTGTCATGTTATTTTAGCGTGGAAAATATTACTTAGCGAACAAAACAAAGGTACTACTGGCCGCGACATTGGGTCATATATGTAGTAGTGTGAAATATTTGATAAAAAATAAAGTTGGTGCCTTCTTGGCCGTGAAAAGGCAGAAAGTGTCTTTTTGGCTCATGCTGATGAAAGACACCAAATCCCAGAATGCACAGCACCGCAGGCCACTCCCACTAAATCGTCATTTTGCGTCACTGGAAGATTCTTTTCAGACTCAGAAATACAAAGATTTCCCATCTCAGTGGAAAATGAGGGCGGGATGCATGACCGTTCAAAAATACTACCAGGTTTCTAATGATACAAAGATTAATGCAAATGGGTGAAGTATCCCTTTAAAGTCTATGGAAGCCCAGGAGGAGGAGGGGCCTAATTTGTATGTTGTGTTTACAAGCTGGAAAGAATAATGCTACTGACTCCATCTTTAAGGTAAGAAGAAAAAAAATTAAATCACAAGTCAAAAGATTGTGGAAAAGGTTTATTCAACTAAAGATGTTACTTTCCCTGAGAAGAAGTTTAATTGTTACACAGTCAGATCTACAAACTGTAATCTGTCAATAAAAATCATCGCATTCAGCAGCATGTTCACAGTTTTCAAATTTTCAGGGAAATTATTTTTCAACATCTCAAAGAAAGAAATAAAACAGCTTACTCTTAGTCTCTTAGCAGGAATAACGAGAAAACTCAAAAGGCTTGTCCTACTTTTAGCGTCCTTCCCCCAGTCTTCAGAGCTCTCCGTTTTTTCATTATAACAGGCTCAGGCCGGTAATCTCCTCTTGAAGTTCCCACTGTGCCATCCACTATTTTACCCCCTTTCATTTTTCCATGCGTCAAAACTCCAATCCCCCTCTTTTTCTCACTCTTCCACACATTACCTACACAAAGTCACAAGTCCCCAAGGTGCTTTGATTGTAATGAGCTGCTGAGCGAGAGCTTAACTCACACTCATGTCTGAATTTTTGTCCACATAGTTCGACTACTTTTCATTTTTTTCCTGCAGTTCAAAGAAACAAGAGTGGATGATTCATGTGAATGTTTGTCAGAGGAAAACCAGCATGGATACACATTACTTGATCCATCGGTCGTTGGGCTTTGCTTTAAAGGATGTCACAAACACTTCGGCTTCCTTTCACACTGCAGACACACAAGAGTCCCAAGTCAGATTTGTTCTTACTTGTATGACTCAGATCTGTTTTTTTTACCCCAATAAGAGTAACATGAGAAACAGCAGAAGTAACATGGAATCTGATATCGTAAATTCAGATTTTGGCAGCTTTCATATGTGGTATAATGAAGATAGAGGTCGGATTTAAAGGTATAATACACAACATTTCAAACTGAATATGAGCTTGTTGTTCTCAGCTCTGTGTGTATAGAAGGCGGGACAGCGTTTCCACCAGCTTGTTTATGGCTCAATTGGAAGAGAGACAGCCACGCCCACTCAGAGATGCTGTATGTGAAGGCATAATGGTGGAGTTTCGTCAATTCCAGGAGAACAAGCAGACTCTCCAAACCAAAGATAAGGCTTTATATATAAAATAATTCAAAGAAATATTAACTGAATTATCTTGGGCTGCATATCAGTCTGAACACTAAGCGAGGGTTGGGGGAGGGGGAAGCGGTGCGCTGAACGTACCGCTTTGTTTGAGTTTGAGAGTCTGGTGCTAAAGTGTAACATCAACTGAACATCTACTCTGAAAGTCACATTTATATCTTTTAGGTTGTATAAACGTTTGATATGTTTTTGATACCACGTTGTACCATGTTTTAAAACAGTTTGAAACCCTTCTATCAGAACCAGCATTGACTTTTTCATCAGTTAGAGCTCCAGTAGCTCTTCTGTGCGATCGATCACAGGTTCCAAACTCCATCTGCAGAGTCCCTCTGCACCTTTAAGAAAAAGCTAAAGACCCAGCTCTTTCATGAATACCTACTAACTTAATGATGATGGTCTCCATATTATTGATGATGATGATGATAATGACGATGGTTTTTGTTTGATAACGACGACTTATAAGATGGTTTCTATACTGATTAGAGCTCTCAAGAACTGCCCTCAATGTTGTGCTTTGCCTCTGGTCACTTCCTGTCAGCACCTGTGTGTCCAATCAGACTCAAAGCTGATCGTTTTCTCTTACTGACATTGTTCCCTTTTTTCTAGATCCTTGCTTGTGTTGTTCTTACTCTCTGATGAACGACGCTTTGGATAAAAGAGTCTGCTAAGTGAATTGTAGAATTGTAGAATTGTAGGTTCCATCATGAGCCTTAATTGCTCTTGAGCCTGTCGGTGGTTCGCCTGCCTTTCCTCCATTTGGCCACTTTCATTCTGACCTCAAAATGCCAGGACCAGCCCAAAGGAGCTGCAGTTTTGAGATGCTCTGATCAAGTCTTTAAACCATCACACTTTGGCCCCATGGCATGGTGACATTCTTACCCTTTGCCCATTTTTGCTGCTACCAACACACTTTGAGACTAAATATTTAATGCTGCCGAACATATCTCATCCACTGACAGGTGCCACTGTAACGAGATGATCAGTGCTATTCAACTGTGAGTGGTCATAATGTTATGACTGGTCCATGTGGCTTGAGGGTTGGATCTGCAGTGTGAATGTAGCCTTTCTTTCCAACATCTAGCATCTCTTTGCTCTACCATTAGCCTTTTCATTACCGCTCACATCTTAGTAACGTCCACTGAGTCGTGCATGTCGATCACCTGGAACCCCAGGTTATCGACCCCGCTTTTCCTGGTTGTTGTGATTCTCCCCGTTGTGGCTGTTGTGGTTCTTCTGGTTGGCGTCCGTCTCAAAGCACTGGACGCAGTGAGGCACGGTGACCTGTATGCTTTTGGAAAAGTTCGAGAAGTCCACGCGGTACTTTCCTGTATTTGTGCGGGAGATGATCGGCAGGAAGCTGTACCCCCACTGAATCTCCTGCGGGATGTAAGAGGTCCGGACCTGGCAGGCGGAGCTGGTGGTCTCTGCCGTCCCGTCCAGAAAGACCACCAACTCAAAATCCTGCAGGGGGAGCGAGTCAGCTGAGAGCTCGTAGAACGGACTCGATTTGTTGATCACGTGGTAGAGGGTGAGAGGACAAACAAAAAACAGGTTGTCCTTTCCGGCGTCCACCATGAAGTCGATATCCACCTGGTCCAGAATGTTTGTCTCTCCATCGGGAGATACTGTTGTCCTCAGCAGCTTGCCGTAGATCTGGCTGCCGATTAATAAAGTCTTTCTGAGGTTGGCGACTCTGATCAGAAGACACAGACTTCCTTTCTTCAGGCAGATGACGGCCGTGTCGCTGAAGGTCACCGTCTTTCCCCTCCTTTTGGGTAAGGAGATCTTCGACAAGATGACCCCGCACATGAAACAATTAATAAAGACCCCGATCAGAGACTGGATCATGATCAGAGCCACGGTGCCGGCACAGTGCCCCGTCAGCGCTCTGCCGCCGTACCCGATGGTGGTCTGGGTCTCCAAAGAGTAGAGGAACGCCGTTGTGAGTCCGTGCACGTTTTCTATACACCTTACGTGTCCGTCCGTTCGGTTCTGCCCGGTCAGATCCCCGTTGCTCTTTGCGATCCAGTACCACAACAGACTGAAAAAGAACCAGCTGCCGGTGAACGCGGCCACAAAGAGAAGGAGGACAAAGCGCCAGCGGATCTCCACAAAGGTGGTCCAGAAGTCCACCAGGTACGCGTAGTGGTTGCTGTCGGCGCTTCCGAACTCGATGTTGCATCGCCCGTCTTTGGTGACCAGGCGGTTCTTGCGACTTCGGAGTCCAGCCGGCTGGATGTGACCCTGGAGCAGCTGGAACATCCTGGAACAGGAGAAGAGAACACAACGTTAGTCCAGAGCTACGTGGTCAGGTCAAATATCCCAAAAGACAGACGAGCAGACAGCAGAGCGTTGTTAATTACTGCTTCACTTTGCTGTTATTTTATGTGTTAGCACTCTTCTGGGGACAGAATAATTATGTGCATTTATGAAGAACAAGACACATTTTCCTGCAGAGGCAAAGGGCCTGATTCACTAAGAATGGATGCAGCTGATTGTTGCTCCAAAACATGTGCTCCATTTCAAGGTGTGAACATGCCAAAAAAGTTGTCCTGCTTCATACAGTTAATACATTTGTGCCAGAAAATGAGCCCTGAGCTGTGTCTGATGTGAGGTGTGTGATGTCAAACAAAAATAATCCACTACACAAAATAAAACAATCATCACAGTAGACACCTCATCATGACTTTTTGTAGTCAGAAACCTGCATTGGACAAGTCATGAATGAAAAAGGCATTTGCTTTATTTAAAGCTTAATGCGATTTTTCACACTTTAATGTAGAAATCAAGTATCCTCTGAAAATAACTCTGTGAGTCATGACTGTCTACAATGGGTGTAACACCCGAGTCCCACTGTCTGTGATGTTTTCAGAGTTTTCAGAGTCCTATCTTCAGTTTGTTTACATCGCCCGGACGGCCGGCTGACTCCTCCCTTCACGTATAAAAGTTGTTTAATTGAGGGACTAGAGAAAAGAAGAATAACATACTGTACTCACTGCTTAACTGTGTTTCTAGATCACGCTCATTTCAGGTAAATTTACATGCAGTGTGAAGATACCAGCATAATAAAGTAGCATTAGCATGCTAACACAACAATGCAGCACGAGTTGTTTTGGTTTCATGCTGGTGCTCAAGGGCGACATCTGCTGGATCAAAAAATCACATATAAAGCCTTTAAATTCTGCTTCCTCCACAAGGCGGGTTTCCTCCTTATGTAAAGTATAAATCTGTGACACTCTTTATTTCCAGCTGCCAAAATAATCCCCCCCCAAAAAAGACCATCATTGTCTGTTTATAAAGCCTGATGCATCTCTTTCCACAGTTCATGGCGCTCCTTTGTCGTCCAAAAACATTCAAAAAACATCACTTAGCCGCACAGTTGGTCTGGGTGACACATTCCTCCACCATTGTTTCTCCCACTTACACCTGCTGCTGTAAATACTAAACCAGAGCACTGAGTGTGTACTCATCCGCAGCTGAAAATAGTCCCAATCAAACAAACCTGCTGTTCTAGTAAAAAAGACTAAAAGCTACAACGCGCTCTTGTTTCAGGACATTTCTGACTTTTTTTGTTATATTTGTGACCTGTTTCCAAACATTTAAATCATGATGTGCAACAGGCAGGCAAAACCAATGCTGTTGTCTATTATGGGAATTTGTTGGCAATGAGACAATTTATGAATTTATTTCAAGTGTTATCATTTTAACATGAACTCAATTTAAGCCCTTGAGATGTTTGTACCTGAATGGGAAAACTTGCGGTTAAATAAAAACAAAAAATAATTAATAAATAGGGCAGTGCATTTTTTTACACTGAACACTGAAACACACGTTCGTACTTTTAAACCATTTAATTTATTCCACATTTTAAAACAGATGCAATTTTCTTCCCTAAGTAGTTCAGACACTAGATCTTTAAAAACACAATGTTAAACCAGTGAGGGCAGCTTGGCCGTCATTTGAGAGTTATTCCACATAACGGCTGCAGTCACACTAACAGCTTCATTCAGTCCAAGACCGTATATAGCCTATATACAGTATATATGTATTATATTATATATGAAGTATGTATATTTTCTCTCAGTACTCAAATGATAAAGATGCATTTAAATAAGTTACGATAGAACTTCATTAATCCAGAAAGACTAACACACAAGAGCATCAAATATAAGTGAATTCAAAAAACATAAAGAATTAAACAACAATTAAATGGATGTTTAATTGATGAATCAGCAGTTTGACCACGATATCAACCATTTAAAATCATATTAAGTTAATTTAAGTCTCTCTTGGAGCGTTCAGATGAACGGGCGCTGAGTTTAAACATCTCATTTTCTCACATACTTTATTGGATTAAAGTTTTTCCCGTGAAGTACAAACCTGCAGCTGGCTAGTGAAAGTCCTGCAAAGGCACGAATAATGTCACATCCGTTCATTAGAGTGGAAGTGAATTTACCTTTTGTACCTTTTGTACAGTGCAGTTTGCACCACGTGGTCCACTTTGAGTTCTTACATAACAGACACCGATTAAGACTCAGGAAACCTTTGTGTTTTGTTCTCACTCTTGAAAGACGTATTAAAAAAAAGATCCCACACAAGGAATAATCCTGTGAATAATCTATTTTATGTCTTTGTTTAAAAGTGTTTAAAAGTGTTTTTAACTGTGAACAGCTCGAGCTCACACAGAGGAGCAATCATCTACAAAAGCTTTGTTTTCATCCCCCACATTCAACTCTTTTTACATCATTGAGGATTTTAAAAAGTTATAAAACTACATGAAATGTTGGTTTTCTTTCCAGTTATTTACCATCGATTAAAGTAGAAGGGTGTTCTGTTACTGGATTCATGGACACAGTTTGGAAACTAGACAAAATTAAGAAGTTAAGCATGTTAAAAATCTTTCCTTAATGCAGCAATCAAAGCAAAAGAAACTGTTACAAACATAAAGCTCGTCTGCACTGTTAAATAAGTCAGACTAGGACCTCAACTCTGCTGTTTAAGCACCAAAGTACAACTTGAAATAAACATCTTATAACTGACTCATTCATCCTCCCACAGTTCAGTAGAAACCAAATTTGGACGTACCTGCTCTGTGAGACCATGGGTCCAGAGTGCTCACTGGATCTCCGCTGGAACTTCACACTCCTTTCTCTCCGCCCGTGGCCATGGAGACGTTGGAAAGATTTTAATCCACAGTGAAATTTCCTAATCCCAGCCACATGCCACCATGTACACTGGCTGCAAACACACACAGAGGAGCCCCGGACGCCAAGCTCCCAGTGGGCGTCAGTTCCCCTTTTGATTGGCAGGGCGACTCCCTTCATCACCACACCGACAACAAGTGCAATGACGAAACTGGTACAGCACCGGGGTTCACGATTAGAGAAAGCGCTCAGGAGTGTGAGGAGGGAGGGGAATTTCCTGGAAGAAGTCCTTATTTTGGTTTTGCAGGAGGTCCATCCATTAAAGGGGCCCAACGTGGCCTGTGCAGCACCCTCGCTGTTTTTTGTTTTCAAGCCCTGAGAACATTTGGGATTTGCGTCAGGCCTCACAAAGAATTCCCTCAATTGCATTTCCCCCCCCGGCCCCCTTCTCCCTCTTCACCTCGAAAACCTGTAGGGCTGCCTCACATTTGCATCAAAATGAAAAGCTGCGGGGGGACAAAGTTTCCTAATATAATTCACCCTGTAGGAGGAACATTTTCATATTTGTGGAGTTTAATTCCATCCACTGAAATTAAACGAGAACAGTCTTGAAAAGCTCCTCAGTGATGGATGCAGATGACTGAACTGTAAGGAAACAGGAGATGCTTCAAGATGTAGACTGTATCATTTAAACTGAAGAGGCCATGCAAGCATGTCAAGGTTACAGGCTACTAGAGCAGTAGTTCTCAACTGGTGGGTCAGGACCCAAAAGTGGGTCGCAGAACCGTTTTCAGTAGGTCGCGAACTTTGTCTGAAAAAACTGAAGTGTGAAGAATCTATGAAGCACTCTTAAAACATGCTGGTTTTGTTCCTTCTCTTTATTCTGTCACATGTTTCGCACCATCTTAGATCCAAACTGCACTATTTTTTTCTTCAATAAAACTGATGGGTTGAAAAATATCAGAAATTTGGGTCATGGTTTTCAGGAAGGAGTTGGTGTTGGTTCCTTAGGCTAGACCAGAACCCACTGGAACCAGAGTCTGTACAGCATCATACCTACCATAAAACTGTTGTCTTTTAAGTCTTTTATTGGTAGTTTCCTTTATGTCCCAGAAGATTAGCAGTCAGTACAGTAACTTTTACATCTCACATTGGTTTGAGGAACACTCTTGAAGAAGTTGGCATTTTGGCCGGTAACATCCTGTTTTTTTCGTGAAGGTAGAAAGAAGCAATGTCTCTGTAGCTTCTCAGTCCTGGTGATCCAAAGGGAACTGGACGTATTTGAAGATCTTGAAGACATTTGACCTCTTCTCTGAAAGGCTTCTTCAGATCTAAACTGGTGGACGGAGTTAGGCCTTACTCTCACTTTTTTGGGGGGTACATGAGAATTCAAAAAACCAAATTAGCTGAGGTGACAGCTTGCAGCATTTTGCACAACTTTAAGTCTTAGTATAGCTTATAGGAGTTTCTTTCATGAAATGAAAACTCCTCTACACATATGAGGAATACAGAAATCAAGATAAAGATAAAGATAAACTTTATTGATCCCCATGGGGGACATTTTTTTGTCACAACAGCTCAAGAAACAGGAATATAATTATCAAAAATAACTAGAAGTTAAAAATCAAACATATGTACATACAGTTGAATAAAGGGAGAAAAAATACAATACTAGAAGAATCCTATGTATAGATCAGCTGTAGAGATCACAACCAGACAGTTAATGTGTTCATCTCTGCTGTAAAAAGTTGATTTATTGTCTTTTGACTCGTCTGAAATAATATCAATCCAATCCACTTTTTAAAACGGGCCTCTATGGAGATGGACTCACTTTTGGAGAAAGCCTCAAGTGGCCATTCAAGGAACTGCAGTTTATGGCACTTAAGTGTTCTTTAAGCAAAAGGCACATATACGAATTGGCGCCATCTTGTGGCCACTGTCTGAACAACAGCTTAACTTTCTTGTTTCTCCTGCTCAGTGTTCAACTTCAGATACATGAAAAAACTCAATTATCCTTGTTTCATTTTTTTTAAAGAAATGTAAGCTCTTAGGAAAAGCCTTTCTTTATTATTATTATCATTATTACAAATTTACAATGTCAATTAGGAAATCAATGTGTCGTCTATTAGGAGTCCAGTTTTAACTTAATATTAAACACAAAGGGGGGGGGGGATCAGATTGTTAATCCAGAAAGAGATGGTCAGAGGAGCAGCTTCAGTTTGAAAATGTTTTTAAAGTGAAATATTTTGGTGCTTTAGACTCTGGCTCTAAAGTATTCAGTTGTTTTGATAAGAAAATCATTTAGGTACATATTGCATTCTTATTGATTGAGGTTTTTTTGCTGTCGGCAGCAGCCATGTTTTGTTGTTCCTGAATCTTCATGCAACAACAATAAACAGAATCTGATGTCTGATCTGTAACTAACAGCTGATGGAGACATGAAACAACGACACACAATTAAGATTTTTATTCATGATAAAGATTCAGTACTTTGATAGATTAATACTAAACTGAGAAACATCAGTCTGTCAAAATAAAATAATTAAAACATGAATGACTTTTAAAAAGAACAGAACTTGATAAGCAAAGACAAAGTGTGAACAACAACTACGTTTGATTATGATTAATTATGATTGAATTGTTTCCACTTCAGCTGATTAGCACCAACAGGTTCAAACCTGAATAGACTAACGTTCAGTTTTGTTACCTTTAGAGACTTACTTTAGAAAAATACAACCGAGGACACGTTTCAAGACCTTTGGCTACCATTAGTTTCCTACTTTGAAAGTTTCCCCAGAGTGGTTTTCAAAAATAGTCTTGGAAGAGAGAAGGCCCAAACTACACACTTAATAAGTAACTGCTCACATAACTCTGTCGCTGTTTTTGTTTCTGGTGCCTTCAGCTTTAAAATATGCAGGTTTGGTGTATGTGCAAGAATATTTACACAAATTGAAAATTTAAGTTTTCTAGTTTTTTGTTTTATTCAATTAGTTTTATTTGATTATGATTTCTGTATATTTGTTGTTTTATTTTCTGTATAGGGGTGGGAGTGGAGGAGTATGGAGAGAGTTTCCTTTTTTCTGTTTGTGTGTGTATCTAACGATGCTGACTAATGTTCACATGAAAATAAGATAAAAATGAAACCTGAAAGCGATTGTTTGGCTGTATTACAGTTTATACTGTATCAATCCAAATGTTTTCTTCTCCCTCTTAAGCAATAAAGGTTTCCAGAGAAGAGGCAGCTCCTGTTCCTGGTATTTGTGAATCATTTTCTGATCGTCTTCACAGAGCTGACAGAGATAAGAGTCCAACGTCTTCAATTTCAGATCAGCACAACAATCTGTTCTGCTGTGGACCGTACTGACCTGAGGAAACCTTTCTGTTTAGTGGGTAAGATAAATGTGTTTCCACTGTTAAAGCGACTGGACATCAATACCCCAGCTCTTCCAGCTGATCCCTACTGCACAGACTCTGACTCTTAACACAATATGTCCGCCTCTGTCCCTGGAGGTAATTAGGCTTCATCTTTTGTACAACGGGAGGGGGTTGAGGTAAAATGTCCATCTTAAGTCTAACTTTCCGTCAACCTAACGACAGGCTGAGAGCTGAGGCGGGTTTTAAACCTCCTGATGAACCGTTACACCCACCTGTCAATCAGGTCAGCTACACGCCTAACTCTGGATAACACGTATCGTTTATAAAAAAATAAACCCCGTACATTGTGTATCCATGACGACAACAACTAATCAGACCTATTTGTCTTTTTGTACCAGGCTGTAAACATGTTTATTTATGCTGTAAAAACGTCTTTATTGCCTGTGGTGTGTATGTGACTTCCTGTGTTCCTGCAGCCAGCCTCTAGTGGACACTCGATGAACTACAGGATTTTGTACTTCTGCATTAGCTTCATTTTTAAAGACTGGAGGTCGCCGCTTGGTTTTTCTCCCTCGTCAACGTCGTCTTCATGCATTTTATCCTCTGCCATGATGTTTGTACTGAGAATGCCAACAGGTGACGTTTTCATAAAAACACTCTTTTCTCTCGGATACGCTTTCAAACCAAAGGTACATGGTGCAACAACACATTATTTGAAGTTGTATTGAGGTTAAGTTGTTCAGTTTGTTGGTTTAAACAAATGTTCTTGAGGATCAGTGACTGTTGGTGAGAAACAAGAAGCCGACAGCGGTCTTAGACTACATTCCCAGAGATCACTGATCTGTTAAATAAATTAAACATGGAGGAGATCAGAACTTAAAAATAAGACTAAAAGGTGCCATCGTGTGTCTTTGGCAGCAGTGTTGAAGGTCCGAGCCGCTCTACACGATGTTCCTCTCCAGCATCGGCTCCTGGTCCAAAATGCGTCTGAACCCGAACGGGCTCAGGTCCAACGTTTGAAAGTTCCCGTCCAGGATCAGCTCGGCTACAGCCCGACCCACCGCGGGGGAGTGCTGCAGGCCGTGTCCGCTGAAACCTGTGGCGAAGTACATGTTGGGGATGAGCGGGTGAATGCCGATGATGCCGTTCTGATCCAAGGTGTTGTAGTCGTAGTAACCGGCCCATGCACTGGTCACCTGACGGAGAGGAAGAGGGAAAAACGGCTCGGATTAAGGAAACCTGTCAGACTGTTAAACCCCCTCCTCTTATTGGAGAAAAGTAAAAACACCATAAAACAGATACATCTTTTCTTTTTGTCCTCTTCACTCAACAAAACAGATGGAGGAGGCGTGGCCTAACAGCAGTTTTTTTTGGTTTCATGCTGGTGCTCAAGGACGACATCTACTGGATCAAAAAGTCGCTCATTCTTCCTTTCAGTGATTTGATGATGAAAGAGCATTACTGAGAACGGACAGTTTTTTAAACCCTGGAGTTTTCCCTCTTCACATGGTCATAATAAAAAGTGTTACCAAACCAGAAAGATGAAACGAGACCATGACCTGTTTCAACAGCGCAGCAACAAAAAGTGAACTACTGGGCAAGTCATAGTCCAACCCTATGATCCTATCAGTTTGGTAGAAAGATTATTTGCGCTGCACACACTCTGCTGCTGCTGGCAAAGCTTTGCCTCCACCACCCTCAGCCCCCTCCTTCCTGCCACAAGCCTTTGGTTCCCCCCGGTGGTGGGGGTGGGTTTAGCACTGCACTCCCTGGAAGCATCCTTTAAAGCACAGCCTTCAACGCCAAGCAAAACTGAACGTCCATCTTGCAATAAGAAGGTAACGTTTACGATGAGCGTGTTCCTGACTGAACTAAGACGACCTACTATTACGTTTACTTATCCAGAAACACACCTTCAGTTTCTCAAAGGCAGGAACACGGTGGGCCAAGCTGGGCCAGACTTTTTCCTCAAAGAACTGGTGATCCACCTCCAGGTTACCGGTGTCGGGCTCGTCCGCCTGAGGAAGAAAAAAAAGGAAAGGTGAA